CAGTCATTATTGTAGCTCACACTCACAGGTTCACATCTGGGTCAGACTGATGATTGTTTTTCTTCTCTGATAGCATGCTTAGCAACTTCTAGCACTATGAAAGCTAGCCAGTAGGGATGAAGCTTTCAGGCCAGTATCAGCTTGATTTCTCCATGTTTTATGACTCAAGTATGTGTTGTCTTCAGCAATATGGTCTTACCATCAAGTTCTTGAGGGGTAATCAAGAGCAGTGGCAATAGCCTGTAATGTTTGGGAGCCTATGGGAGCTCACCAACCAACAACTTGAAAAGAAGTAACCCATTTCTGGTCCTGGGGTTTATATTTGCTAGGATGAGGTGTCTATTATTGGGTAACTCCATTTAAACTCATTTTATTTATGTATATGTATATAGACTGTTAATGGCATTTATCTCCCAGCAGCCTGCATAGTATCATCTTCCATGAGAGCTGGAGTTAGGCAGTAGGTAGGAAGCTGCTGGTTTATAAGCATTTTAATGAGAATTTCTATATCTATGTTTACCACAGAGATCAGTCTATAATTTTCTGTCTCTGATTATTTTTTTCTCTTTTTTAAAAAATTATTGAATTTTTGTGATTCTCATGCAATATAGTTTGATGTTATTTAAATATTAAATTAATATTTATTAAATAGCTATGGAGACATATTGCCTAAGGCCACAACCCTCCTGGGTTGTAGATCTCTAGTGCCTCACAGATCTCCATCCAATGGTTGGTTGAGGCAGAAGTACAGAGGCCTAGCCATTTCATTTCAGTAAAGGACATCTGATATGTTAGGCACATTAGTTCAATCTGTAAAATTATCTATATCCTCATTCCTGGAACCTATAAATATATTACATGGCAAGATTACAGACAGTATTAGCGTTGCTAATCAGCTAAACTCAAAGCAAACAGATAATCCTGGATTATTTGGGCAGGACCAGGGTATTCCTTTAATGTGTAAGAGGAAGAAAAGAGAATCAAATCAGATTTGAAAATGTTCTTCAGCCATCTTGGCGATGTTAGAAGGAACCCAGAGTCAAGGGGTGCAGACAGCCTCCAGCAGCTGGAAAAGGCAAGGAAATGATTCTCTGCTTCCAGTTTCAGAAGGAATGCGGTCCTGCCTACACTTTGATTTTAGCTCAGTGGGTCTTGTTTCAGATTTTTGGCCTCCAGAACTGTAAGATAATAAATGTGTCACTTCATGGTAATAAAATTCTGTTCTGGGAATTTGTTATAGCAGCAGTATAAAGCTAATCCAGACTAACCCTCTGTGAGATCACACAGAGCTGCCCTTGGGCATGTGTCTCAGCATGGCCTTTCCCTTTGTCCCATCCTGCTCTGCTTCTTCCACATAGTTTTGAGTGCTAGGAGACATCAGTATCTCGCACCTGAAACTCTGTCATTGGTTTGAATGGTAAATATGACTTCAACTTTTTGGATTTAATTACTCTTCACAGCCCACACAATCAATGAAATAGTAAAAGTCTATCTCTGCTAGATAGCATTAAGGTAAAGTTTTTAAGGCTATTAATAACTTGCAATAAGAACTCCATAAAAGTTGACTAAGCTTCCTTAACTTTACCTCACTATTTTCTCTCAGAAATGTGCAGCCTCATTTAATAATAATTGTTACTGTGAGGCTAGGGAGAAGGGGAGGCAAATCACAGTTCTATTATAGAAGTCTTCTTTTCAAACTCTGCTTCAAGCTAAGAAAGCCCTGGAAGATTAGAATGACGTGGAATGTGAAGGCATGCTTCTTGAAGGATATGGGTATTGAACAGGATTTGTAAAAACACTCTGGAGAGAAGGTGGACAGATGACTCCAGGGATGCCTACCCCAATGCCTGTATACAGTCTTAGTCATTTAGGTAGAATTTGGAGGCATAAGCACCAGATAATTAAGTTTGCAAAGTGCTTTAGTTGCTTTATTTACTTTAACCAGTAACTTTAGACATACGAACTGATAAATCTTGCAATGTGTATAGTGTATTTTGAAATGTACTGCATAACTATGTAGGGCAATTATAACCAAGAGAAATATGAGAAGGAAAACAGAATTACAAAAGGAAAAAGAGGTTGAGCTGTGCACCCATCTCATATAAATACATAAAACCTTTAAAATTATGACATAAACAGCACTGTTAGATTTATGACCCTGGCTGTTGCTCTCATTCCAAGTTCCTACCTTATATTTATCATCTTTATATTCATATGGCATCTCTATTTCCAATGTCTTGCAAATATCACCTTCTCCCATAACCTTTTCAGCTGAAATCTCACATGTTTTATATCAACTCAGAAGCAAATTCTTTTCTGGAATGTTGAACCTATTTGTTCAGCTATTTCTGGATTACTCAACCATGGGAAAATTGTATTTAAGACATTTGTCAAAATCCACTTTTGGTGTACTCAAACTTAATTCAAAATGATTTAAATTTAAATCTTCAGAACTATTGTATACATTCTCTAATAAGAAAAAAATATTATTTGCTTTGAAATATTGGTTGAGATTTATTCTCCTCCTCCTTCCCCTCTCTCTCCTCTCTCTCTCTCTCTCTCTCTCTCTCTCTCTCTCTCTCTCTCTCTCTCCATATGTATGTATGACAAAGTTATAGAAAGACCCACTTAAGTCTTGGAAAACTGTTTGGTTTCCAGACTTTTGCTATGCTAAACATTTGTTACTTAGGAAAAAAATTAATATGAAGATACTACCTTTAGGAGGATTTGAGGGAAACAACTTCAGTTCTGCTGTATTGTTAAATAACCAAAGTTTTATTCTGTGAAATGGAAAAATAAAGGTTTAAAATTTTACACTTTAGAAACATGGGCTTACCCTATTGCCAATTAGAAATATTTATGATGTTGGTAGCATGTCTTAAGCAAATATTGGGTATATTTGCAAAATGTTTCAAAGGGGCTATTCCTTTTCCAGGAAATGTAAAAGAAATATACTGTCCTTTCTACCAAAAGGTTAAATGAGACAAAGGAGGTTCCGTCTTTAAAGAAATGTGTGGAAACACCATCTGGCAAAAATTCCTCCCCATCAGCATTTTTCCAAGATCAAAGTATGTGCTCAAGATTACATCCTGTTCTCAAAAGAGGCATTTTGCTTATCAATTGTGCCACTTTGTGAGGCTGAGCTCTGACCACTCAGAGTATGGCACAAAACCCTTTTGCACTAGTAATACCCCCACCCCTACCCCTGCCCCCTGTGTTCTTGCTGCCTGCCTACTTGATTTAGAATGGCTATGTGCCCTTCTGCCTTGCCAAAATACTTTGTATTGTGTGGTCATTTTCTTGAGACCCCAGATACATTTCCAACATGTTTATTGCCTGTTTAAAAAATGCCCTAAAATACCTGAAATACTGGGAGCTTACAGAATTAAAAAGAACTAAAGTGAGAATAGGGAGATGGTGTGGAGAGGAAGAGAGAGGAGGAGCCCCTTCTGACTTGTAGACAGTCCCAAGATATATGAACTTGTTCCAAATAGCTATTGCTGAATAAACAAATCACCACAAAATGTAGTGATTTAAGACAACAGTCCTGTTATGTCCATCATCACAGCTCTGGGGGGCTGGCTGGGTTCAAATAGGCTGTTTTTGCTTATGAATCTGCAGTATCTAGGGTTATCATCCTATCTTACTATATGTCTGGCCCCAGAACTGGGAAGGCTCAAACATCTGGGGGCCTAGAACAGCTGGAACTGTTTGGCATCTCTGTTTGTCTTTACACAGTCTGTTTGCCCAGGTTCTCCAGCATAGCAGCTTCCAGGGAGCCAAACTTCTTTCAGAACAGCTCACAGCATCCAAGGTTCATGTCCGAAATAACAGCCAGGTAGAATCTGCTACTTTTTTCAAAGCCTAGCCTCAGAAGCCAGGGCAATTGCAAAGTCCCAGCCAGGTACAGTGGATGACAACATACTCCACCTTTTGATGAGAAGTACACTAAAGAATCTGTGGACATGTTTTTAAAACCAACACAGGACTTCATAGACCTCTGACAGAAAGCCTGGAACAGAATAATGAGTCATTCACTAAACCACAAATTGTTTCATTGTGGCCCATACCCCTTTTGCTATGATAGAAGGGTAGTGTAGTGTTTAAAGGCTCCTGCTCTGGAGTTAGACTGCTCAGGCTTGCCTCTGGGCAAGGCCTGGAATTTTGAGCAAGTCTCAGTACCTCAGCAGTCTTCCTTGCAAATGGGGAATAATGAGGACAAGTGTTTATTGGATACATCATGGGTACTGGGCATTGTCCTGCATTGTGCATTCTTTCCGTTTACCCTTAAAATAACCAGTGGAGTACTTATCTACTTCCTAAGCTATTGGGTTGATGATAAAAGAGGAATTTTCTAGATCCGTGGCGTGGATCAAATGAGACTATTTTGCTCTCTGTTAATGTGATTAAAGCTGTTGTCTAGTGTTGCCTGGCCAGGAGAGAGCTGTCTCTAGAAATGGACCCAATTTCGCAATGCCCGAAGGGAAGACAAACAATTTTCCGGTGTTTACAGAGTGGAGGAGACATTCATCAGGGCTGAACCGGCAGATTGCTTGTTAGGTGTAAAATATTCCTATCAGCCTTTCTGGGCCTTAACCGCGGCCATGCGTACAGAATCCAGCGGAGTTCTGGAAAGTGGGATCGCTCTCACAGTTCCGAGTGTGCAACGCGGGAGAGGTTCATCTTTTTCCTGTAAAAGCACAGTGCCCTATCCTGGGCACTTCTGCCAGAAGAACACAGAGCACCGCTTTATGCCTGGCGTCCCCAAGTGTCGGGAGGCCGGCGTCTGCAGGACGCACGGTGTTGACAGGCGTCTTCTTGCCTCTCTGGGCTCCCGGGTTTCCGGAGCCACCCTTGGTCCTCAGGTGCCACCCGGGCGCCCATCTCCATAGCAGGAGGGAAAACCCGGAGAGGTGGAATTGCGGTGCGGAGCGCGGCGCGGCCACTGGGCATGCTCGGTCGTCGGGCAGGTTCGGGGCTGCGGGCGGCCGAGCGTCCTACGAGCGGGCAGCGAGCACATGATGGCGGCGAGCGCCAGCGGCGGAGGCAGCAGCGATACGTCCAGCACCAGCGAGGAGGAGCGGATGCGGCGGCTCTTCCAGACGTGCGACGGCGACGGCGACGGCTACATCAGCAGGTAGGTGGGAGCCGCCGCACTACCCTGACCCTCAGCCCAACTCCGGCAAGTTGCTCGGGCTCGCGGGGAAAGTTGGCCGGGGCTCTAGGAGCGCGTAGGCGAGGCCACCCGGCGAGGGGCTGCTCCGGGTGGCACCTGCGGCTCCTGCTTCTCCAGGGACGCCTTTGTGCGGCGCTGGGAAGCCGCTCCCGGGTCCCACCCTCCCTGGTTCCGAGCGCTCCTCTGTGCGGACCGAGCTCTGGCTGCTGGTCCCAGCTGGGAGCGATGCCCTCCACCAGGGATGCTGGGGATCAGGATGCTGAGACTTGGTGCACCGTGGACAGCCCGGGGCAGGGCGGCACACTCTAGGTGACAGACACAGGCATGAAATAGCCTGGAAAGAACTTTCATGTGCCACAGAGCACCTGAATAGAAGATGTTGCCCTGTATGTATTTAGACACGCTAGCCTGAAGCACACGAAGCGCCCCGGAGCAAACTGGGGGTTTGGAGATGAATCTGGAATGTAGACTCTGCTGCCCACCAGATTGGAGCGCTGACCTCAAGTGTCTCCTCTTGGAGCCTTGCGCGTCCTTCCACTCACCCTTGTGCTGTTTGATTTTTACATCTGCACCTCCTCTGGGGCTGGTGGTGTGGCTTCATGCCACAGCACTTGACCAAAAGACAACGACTGCCCAAATTTGTGTGACTTAGAAACTGCAGGTGAAGAATGCCATGTGTAGTTACAGTATGCTTTTAAGAAAGGTTGACTCTGGGGATTGAAAGAAGTATGCTTTGAAAGAAAGTTGAATTGCCTTGGCTGAAACAGGCGCCTAACTTGTGTGTATTCTATTTCTGTAGCCTTTGTCTTAGAGTCGCTAAATATCCATCCTAAACATTTGAAGTGCCTCCTTGCAATTGGTCCTTGGCTACCTGACCAATAAAAGAGTAGGAGAATATTTTTAAGTTTTTAAGAAAAAACTCTGAAACAGTGCAGGGCGTGGTGGTGCACGCCTTTAATCCCAGCACTTGAGAGTCATCAACAGGAGGATTTTTGTGAAATCAAGGCCAGTCTTGTCTACATAGCAAGTTCCATGCCAGCTGTGGCTATAGGGAGACCCTGTCTCAATAAGGACAACAAACAAAAAACAAAAAACTCTGAAACAAGTAATTTAACCTATAACAATTTGACAGTTGCAAAAACCATCATTTATCTGAGAATTGGCTCAGTTACCATTCTGAGGTGAATTTTATTATTTTTCCAAAGATTCATTAAGAAACACTGGAAAAGATTATTCTCCAAATTATGGATAATTCTGTTGTGAAATGAAAGCAGCATGTGATTCTACTAGACCCCACATAGATTTTTGTTTTTAGCTTGAAGTCTTCCTCTTTCGGTGTTGGGACTTTTTTTAAGTTTGTTATATGGTTTATGGTTTGTGGTTTGCCTACTTGAAAGACTATTTTCTCATTGTAATAATATAAGCAATCTATATTCAATTTGAGTTTCAGAAAGAATTTAATTTCACAAAAGCAAGAGTGCATATTGGAAATTAGCAACATTCTTTTCTTTCTGGTCTTCTAATTTGACCTGTTAACATGCTGCTGTATCTGACTAACTATGCTCTAGAAACACATTCGTTTCACTGCTGCTTATATCTACCCCAGAAAGTAATGAATTCTGTAAGCAAATTTGAGGACTTTGATTTTAAAAATGAAATTTTCTCCTTTTATTAAACACAAGAATTGGATTTTTTAATCCTGAAAGCTTAATTTCAGGTTCTTCAAAAGATGTTAAGTTTATACTATGTTAGATAGCTGTATCTCATAGAAAGCTACAGCTGAATAAAGATTGACTTTATCACAGTGGAAGTGTGGAGAGTGGCTGTCCAGGTGGGAGCCAGTTCCACAGTGGTATCAGCAACAGTTTGTTTCTTCCTTTCCCCAGCACAGTTTGTCACATAAAGCATTCGTGGTTAGCTCACAGAAAAGATGATTTATTTCTCTGTTTCCAGTCATCCCCAAGTTCTAGGGGAAGGCGTAAAAGAAAATTGAAGTGTGTGGTGCCTATATCATTAGGAACAAGACTTCCCCAAATCCCTTCATGTTCAAATTACAACACTTAATCATGTCTATTTGCAGTACAGTATGAGGAAACTTGTAATTCAGCTAAGCACATTGCTTCCTAAATAAAATGTGTGCTCTGTTACTAAGAGTAAGCAATAGATAATTGGGTGTCAAAGTAGCAATCAGTATGTATACTAAAGCCCCCTCTACCATGGGAATCTTCATTTGACTACAATGGCTCTAGTCTTCTGCTTAGCCCTTATTCTAAACTGCAATGGACTGGAAGCCCTGTGCTTGGAGAAAAGAAAAATAAAATAAAGCATCGAAGGGTGAGAGTCAGGGAGGTAAAATGTGGGACTTCCTGAGCAGTCTCTTGCTTTAGTCTTTTCCACTAGGCTAGGAAAAGGATTCAGCTGACTGAAGTTTCCTGGAATTGATGATTCTGACAAGGAACTTCTAGCCTGTCAAAGGGACACAGAGCCATTTTTGTTCTATAGTTGAGATGGAACACAAAACTATCAGCAAGTATTCCCTTCTGGGGATAGGGCAGGATTTGGGTTGTGCAGTGATACCATGGCAGGTTCTTCCAGTGCATTTCATTTACCTTATGATGATGTAGCCCCATATTTCATGATACTGAATTTTGGACTTGACATGTCATGTTATAGGAAGCAGTAGAGGATGCTGTAGGTTTTGATATTTTCTGTTTGTACTTTTTTTTCCCTTCAGTGAAAAGCAGCCCAAAGCTGCTTATTTGTGCAGTGTGTGTGTGTGTGTGTGTGTGTGTGTGTGTGTGTTTCTTCCACTTTATTTTTGAGGCAGTGTCCCTCACTGAACCTAGTGCTCATTGATTGACTAAACTGGCAGGCCAAAGAGCTCCAGGGATCTTTCTGTCTCCACCTCCCAGACCGGGGATTTGTGGCACGTGCTACAATGCTGGACTTTTATGAGAGTTCTGGGGGTTCAAACTTAGGTCCTCATGCTTGCACAATGAGAACTTCATTAACTGAGTCATCTCTTCAGCCCCTGAAGGTGCTTGTTTGAACGTATCTTTGACAAATAATCTAAAGCCAACAGTTACATTTTTATCATCTCCCTGTCTTAATCTGAACTTTGGTACATTACAGTTATACAAACCAAGGCTTGTGTTCTTTGGCTCTAATTTCTTTTCCTTTTTAAAAAAAAAGTATTTATTCTTATTCTTTGTGCATAGGTGTTTGCCTGTATGTATGTAAGTACACCACATGTGTACACTGCCCATGGAGGCCAGAAGATTGCATTGGATCCCCTGGAACTGGAATTATGGACAGTTATTAGCTACCGTGAAGGTGCTGGGAATTGAATCAGGTTCTCTGTGAGAACAGCCAGTGCTCTTAACTGCTGAGCCATCTCTCAAGCCCTTAGCTCTCATTTCTTAATCCCTTCCATTGCCCCTAAACTTTATCAGCCACCAACCAATTGTCTGTCTCTTTTTCTGGAAATTGCATATACATGGACTCATATATGCTCTTTTGTGATTGGCTTCTACCTGGCATAATGTTTTATAGCTTCATGCATGTTTTAGCATGTGTTGATACTTCATTCCTTTTTATGGCTGAATATTTCATTGTAAAGATACAGCACATGTTGTTCATCTACCAGATGATGAACATTTGAATGCTTATATCTTTTGCCTACTATGAATGGTACTTCTATGAACATTCATATTCAAGTTTTTATGTAGGAATACATATATTTCAGTTCTGTTGGTTTTATTTTAGAAGTGGGTTTGCTGGGTGGTAATTCTATGTTAAAGTTTTTAAAGAACTGATTTCAACAAGTGTCTAGAAAGGATGCCAAATTCAAGTTCAAGGGTAAGATGTGGAGGTGGGAGGGAACATTGTCTTTCCTTTCCTTAAATGGTGCTATGGTGCTGGAACAGCTACATAGTTACATGTAAATGAAAGAAGCTGTACACTTTCCTTATACCACATAAAAGTTACCTCAAAGTGGATCAGAAACTCAGGTAAGAGCTAAACTTTTAAGCTATTATATATATATATATATATTTTTAAAAGCACAGAGTTAAATCTCTGTGACCTTAGATTTAGTTGTGGATTCATATATGACTCCCAGATCACAGGCTTTAGAAAAGAAACCAATTGAACTTCATTAGAATTTCTAAAGCTTATGCTTTGAAAGACAATGTTGAAAATGGGAAGGACTGGGGCTGGAAAAATGGCTTGGTAGTTAAGAGCACTGGCTGCTCTTACAGAGGACCTGGGTTCAGTTCCCAGCACTTACATGGTAGCTAACAACCATCCATACATAACTCCTGTTACAGGGGGTCCAATATCTTCTTCTGGTCTCCGTGGGAATGGCATGCATATGGTGCGCTCACATACAGGGAGAAACAGATACACATAAACTATAAATAAATAAAAATTTTAAAATGAGAAGGATGGAGCTGGGAATATGACTTGTACGTCTTATACAAGTATGAGGACTGGAGTTCTGGTCCCCAGCATTCACATAAAAGTTGCACAAGAGTGGTGGCCTTCTTGTAACCCCAGCATTCAGGAGGCTGAGACAGAGGATCGCCACGGACAACTGGCTAGCTAGATTAGCTGAATCAATTGGTGAGCTCTGTGCTCAACAAGAGACTGCCTCAGTAAATATCGTGGAGAGCAATCCTGGAAGACACCCAATGTCAACCTTTGGCCTCCACATACATACACACCCATGTACACAAGCACACATACTTGTGTACCCACACACGTATGAACATGCATACACATATATACCACACATACATGCAAAAAATGGGACAAACTACCAACAGAACTGTAAAAATACTTGCAAAGGCTATATGTAATTAAGGACTTGTGTCCAGAATCCTACAAAAAGAAGCTTAGCACTTTCCCGACCACAATATTAAAGTGGGTTTACTCTATCTTACCAGTGTTCTCTCATCACA